TGGTTCGTATTATGATGTCAATAAATCCAGTTCTACTTCCTCCTCTTTTAAATCCTATCATCTATGGAGTTAAATTACAGGAGATAAGACAAAGGGCCATGAAAATGTTCTATATAATAAAAGCATATTATATGGAAGCATAGAAATAGATAGATTGCACACATATTCAGATTGTTGAATTTAATATTTTGTGGAATATCTTTGGTAGAAATTTACTCACTTAATTGGTGCAATAGATGCCCAATTTACTTGTGAATTTGCTCAAGCTTTTTTTGTCTTGCTTGGAAATCACTTATGAGCAACAGTTCAAATTCTTTCCAAAGATTCAACACTTTTACTTGGCCACTGAAGGAGGTGCTCTTTCTTAATTTTAGGCTAACATTCTCCCGTTTAAACATACATTTTTGTTCCAGGTTTACATACATTTTTGTTCCAGGTTTTTGTTCCAGTTTTACATTAAAGCAGGTTTTTTCCTAAAATTTGTCAATATCTTGCTACATGTTCCCATCAGTCTTGACAAGCTTATCACAGCTATATAACAGCATTATAACAAAATGCTACCACCCCCATATTTTATAGCCAGGATGATTTGACTAGTGGTGCACTAGTTTGGATTTGGATATGTTGTGATTCTTTATATTTACACCAAATATCTTCAGTTATGTTTGCTTTTCTCCTTAGGTACCTGGTTGTAAACACCATATGCGATTGTGGGTGTTGCTTCTTTCATTTGCATACAAGCCTCCTTTGTGGAGTGACTGGGACATTGGTAGCCCATGACCTTTACTCACATTTCAGCCTCTGCAGTCTGTACCACTCTAAGATGCTGCTGGCCTCATGGTGGTGTCCCTCACCAGATTCCTCCTTGCCTGGCTGCTCAGGTGGTGTCCAGGCATCTTGCACCTCTGAATATCTTCCACTACTATTTCACCGTGCTCTAACAAATGTTAATGGTCTTGGGCATTGGTTCTGTACCCTGACTTGCTTTGAAAGCTCCTGTGTCAAATGAGATCAGTCTTTCCACGTACTTCACTACCTGACCAAGGAATCTCCCAGAAACAATTTTAAAAGCTGGAGAATGACTATTATTTCATACAGGTACATTAAACTAATTATGAGACTCATTAAGTCTAATTTTGCCCATCTAAATTCATTCATGTTTTCCACAGTGTCTGATTTAAATGCTGATGCAATCTGGAATTTTTATTTTATTTTCGTTATTTATTTATTTTTTGCTTTGAAAGTGAGAAGTCATTTATGCATATACAGTAACTCATATTACTTACCACTTCTAAGATTACTGACTGCCTGTTTAGAAGTAAATGAACGTGTATGGTGCAAATGCAAATACAGCAAAAAAATATATTAATAATCACATTTCAGGTTCTAATTCCTGTGTTGCACAGTACAAATGATTTAATGTCAGTCATTTGTCTGAAGGTTTTAAAGTTTTACTATTACATCACCATGTTCTGATACCCTATTCTCTAAATTCTGGTATTAAACTAAATTTTCTGGTTAATGTTACAAGTCAGATAGGGATGTACATCGACATGCCAGGTCCCAAAGACACAACCCTATCTCCACAGATAGGGTTCGTTAGAATTGTAAGATCAAACTCTAATTAACATCTTCACGCATGGGATTAATTAGAAATTTCAGAAAAAAAAACATTAATTCCCCAAGCATGAAGATACAGTATAAAACAGAGAAGAAGGTAGCATTTTCTTTAGGCCCATTCTGAGTCACTGTGCATGACTGACATTTTCAGGTATGTATGACAACAGCAATCAGTAATGGTATTATTGGTAAATTATATAAGATGTTAAAACAGCTATATTGTAATTTATTGTCTATGTGTATAATTATTATATAACAAATAATTAATTCCTTATTAATGTTATTTTTTGGCTTTCCAAATGAATTGGAATATTTTAATTTGGAATTACTGTATCTTGCATACTTCATGTTGCAAAATATTAGCAAAATTCAGAATATCAATGTCCAAATTTGTCAGAATTTTAATGTCCATTCAATTCAGCTCCACTGGGTGATAATTAGTAATGCAAGTTGATGTCATGTTTCCTATTCTTCTGTTAAAGACTCTTATGATTTAGGCAGTGAAACCGCATAACCATAACAGAGCTGGATCTAAGCAAGGAAGTTTGTCTTTTATTTTTCTTCTTCATTGTGGTAAAGAATATTAAATGTTTTCTGCAATCTTTGCATTGCAGTATTTTAAAATAACCTGTGGTTTTGCTAATCAGAAAGCCATACAGAAGTAAGTGTGATCAGACTGAAAACATACTGCTTCATTCAGAGACACAGATGCCTGCAGTAGGGCTATGAAGACATGCAGGCAGATCTCCAACACCATGATATGACCAAATAACATTAGAGTCAGGACTTTGCCTTTTTTTCAAGCTCTTCCACTTCTTATTCTGAGGTGATCATTCCTAACCTGAGAGGCTACACAGTAAAATTGGAAATAGGTTGAAATGCCTTTAATGCATGGAGAGAATGAAGACAAACGTGACTTCCTCCAATGTGCTTCCTTGTCAGAGTCATATGGTATTTGACATGTTGCTGACCCCACAGTTCCTGATATAAGAATTGGTGATGCTTGGAAGAGTGATGCCTGTCTCACTGGTGTCATTTCATCCCAGTGGGTTCCTAACCCACTAAAGTTTCACAAGTCATTGTTTCACTAACATCTAAAAGTTGCCCTTTCGCACAATGACAATGCTCTGCTCATTGGGTCCTGCAGCTTGAAGAATCTCAGTCACGCTTTGGTAGTGACATGACCTTGAAACAGGATTATATAGGCCCTAGAGCCCATTGCTGTTTAAAATTTGCAAGACATGCATATCAATTGATCAATATGTTTAATATTAACAACACAAAGTATCCTGTAAATACTTTAAAAGTAAAGTGGGTATTTAAATGTAATAGTCAAAAAACAATTTACCTTGACATTTTGTAGAAATAAAATTATATTGAGCATATATATTATTTTACAATAATGCATGTATAATATTCTTTCATTTACAGTTGTATTGCAAATATAGTACATGCTAATATGAATAGTTAAAAAGCAATATAAACACAAATGTTTTGTAAATTGTTTTCCAGGTGCCACAAGAAATTACAGAATACATCAACAATGAATAATTCAACCCCAGTGACTATGTTTCTTTTTAATAGTTATGAAGCTAGTGGAAGTATTAGGTATTTGTATTTTGCTGCCACCCTATTCAGCTATCTTTTAATCGTCATTTCAAATACTGTTATTATAACAGTAATTGCGAGGGAGAAAAGGCTCCATGAGCCCATGTACATATTTATTTGTAACTTGACCTTGAATGGGGTATATGGAAGCACAGCATTTTATCCTAACTGTTTAGCAAATCTCTTGTCAGAAACCCCCTCCATATCTAGAATTGGCTGCTTAATTCAGGTATTTTTCATGCACACTTATGCATCCTTTGAATATTCAGTTTTGGCCCTGATGGCATATGACCGATATGTGTCTATATGTCTTCCATTGAGATACAACAGCATTATAACCCCATTAAAAGTGACTCAGCTTTTAATGTTTGTATATATGTATCCCATTTGTATTATACTTATACATTTAATTCTAACAATTCGGTTGCCTCTCTGTGGGTTTATAATAGAAAAAGTGTACTGTGATAACTGGTCTGTTGTCAGGCTGGCATGCTCAGATGTGTCTGTTAATAGTGCCTTCGGCCTGCTTGTGACAGTTATTGTTATGTGTCTTCCGGTAACTGTCATCATCTACTCCTATATCAGAATCCTGGCAGTGTGTCTGAGATCTACAAAGGAAGCTCGTGCTAAAGCTCTACAGACCTGTACCCCTCATTTACTGAGCTTCACAAACTACTGCATCGCCACATTTTTTGAAGTTCTTCAACACCGTGTTGATTTAACGAATGTGCCCTATATTTTGAGAGTTTTAGCATCTATAGATTGTGTTTTTTTCCCTCCTATTTTAAACCCCATTATCTATGGAGTTAAATTACAAGAGATAAGAAAAGCAGCCATTAAAATTCTATTTAGAAGAAAAAACAATTCAGTTTCTGTGAGAAATAAAGAGAAAATCTTGAGTCTTTCAAATACTTAAAAATACAAAAATACAGTGGGGAAACTTTCACCCTTCAGATTTTTTACGTTTGTGCTAGAGAAATGTTTGAACAGTAAACCTTAGGCCTGTCTTACATACCTGTGTTGTGTCCATTTGATGTTAACTTTCTTAATAATTCTTTTTATTCCTTGTCTACATATAACATCATCCTTTTATAATGATCCTAAAGTATTTTATAAACAGAGGGAACACACTACATCCAAAACTAAAGCACATCTCACTCCTACTAAATAACTATATTCTTATTGTGTTCTTGAAACCAAGACACTGGAAAAAACCTTGCATCTCTGAAAGGAGATATTCAACTTGCAATAATGCTGACTGGCAAAGGTTTTGTTACTGTAGGTGCTTATTGATTGGTAAGTACTAGGGCAGCCACAATGACAGTGATGCCTGCTTTTTACATTGTTGTGTTTCAATCAAAGATTCCAGCTTTCAGTGCTGCACCACCTAAACTGGATATTGACTAAATAGGCTTTGGAATTATACTATTTACTTGCATTTATATAGCATTTTTTATCCCATGTTATCCCAGTGTTTTAAATATGGGAGGGAACCCATCCACTGACCCACCAGTGAAGTGCAGCATGCATCTTGGTAATGCACAACAGCCTCATTACAAAGCTGATCAGGAGGGAAAGTAAGAAACTGCTCTTCCAGGTGAATTTTGGGGACACTTTCAAGGAGGCATATTGTACAAATCCAGAGTGGCATGACCAGGAACTTGGTTTAACACTCGGAATTTTTATGAACAGTGTCATTCTTTCATGTTTTATTGTGTATTTAATGTATGATTATTATTGTATAACAGGATGTTAAATAAAAATGAAAACAAATATTTTTTTACAAATTGTAGCAATGCATTTGTGTCAATCAACATGTATTTGTATGTACGTACAACTGCTCACATGGAGCTGGTTTCAATCCATGTTTGAAATCTAGATCTCTGTTTCCCATAATCTCCCGACAGTCTCTAATACCATAAAAGGTGGTATCCTAAACAGACCTTCAGGTCAGGGTTAGTCCACTCTCCTACCCAACAAGATCTTGTCAAAGGCAACATTAAGTATTTGGATTTCACATTAACCTTGTTGACTTATATTTTGATTGTCTTTGTAAATACAGTTCTTATAACAACAATTGCTAGAGAAAGATAACTCCATGAACCCATGTACATATTTATTTGTAATTTATCCCTGAATGCGGTATATGGTAGCACAGCATTTTATCCCAATATCTTAGCTAACCTTTTGTCAGAAACCCCCTCCATATCTAGAACTGGCTGCTTGACTCAGATATTTTTTATATGCACATATGGATAATTTGAATATTCAGTTTTTGGCCCTGATGGCGTACAGTACGATCGATATGTATCTATACGTCATCCACTGAGGTATAATTACTGTACATTATGACCCCATCAGTAGTGACTCAGCTTATAGTGTTTGTATATACAGTATGTACCCCATTTTTTATTATAGTAGCTCAGGTGGGCAGCTGCGTCAGCATGCGTAGGCTGTAAAGGAACGAGTAATTGGTTTATTCCAGGCTGAAAAGAGAAGAAAGAAAACACTACATTTCGGCCGTGTGGCCTTGTTCAGGTCTCCACGGCTGAAACGTAGTGTTTTCTTTCTTCTCTTTTCAGCCTGGAATAAACCTATTATTACTTGTCCATTTGTATCCTGTCGATACAAGAGAAGATCTTGTCTGCTCAGCACCCCTAACTCATTCCTCATGGAGACAAGGGTGACCCTCTCAGCCTTGTCTTCATGGGCAGGCCCATATATTTATATATATTTATATGATATATAATATATATATATAAAATATATTAAATATTTTAGAAACACAATGAAATACAATGATATGCGTGTCTTTCAATACAATCAGCCACTGTTTCCTCTCTTTTTTCTTCCCCAAGTGGACCTCAGCTCAGCTGCAGGCAGACTAACAGTGCTTTTCTCAGTATAAACCCTATTGCATGAATTAGCCATTAGAAGTGATATTTGAATAGAATTAAAAGGCAAGTGAATGGAAATACCACCAACAGTATAACTTTGAGAATATAAAAAAGATGATCTAATACAATTACCATGATGTGTCTCCACAAAGATCAAGGTTTTAAGGTACATTTACTGTGCTGTGCACACTTTACCATAGAATCACAATAGTTTAGTATACTATCCTGTCAATTCTAGAGCATGTTCACTATCAGTATACTGTATATATTAATATAACAGTCCAAAGACAAAGCCCACTTGAAACTGCAACATTTTTTTTTTTTAATTTTGAATGCCTGCACCTGAAATGGCTGGAATAAACTCCAATTAACACACATTCACATGGGAATCATTAGAATAGAACAAACTCATCAGTTCCGTAAGGGCAAGGATACAGCATAAAGCACAGAAGTCAGCGTATTCTCCATTACTACAGACCCTCCCTGAGCCACGGACAAAGAGAGTTCTGAGGTATGTAGTACAACAGTTGTTGAACAGTGTTGCATATGAAATAGTTATTAAATAATTTGATATGGTTATAGATAGCTTATGATTATCATTATTATATTTTTCATCAAAAAACTTAAAATGAAATGTTTAAGATAGCTAATCCTTAATTTTGTGTTTGAAACAAAGCACAATATAAAACACTGCAGTCATTTATATTATATCAGCAGGCTTCGTGTTACAAAATATTAAGAGGACTACAAGAGTAACCCAGGGGTTTTACATTTCTGTTCACTAGGGCATCACTGAGGATTTTGTTACATAATTAGTTAGTATCCCATGTTCATATCATATTTTATATTTCTCTATTACGGGGTCTTTTTCATTAAAGCTGCAAAAAATTCTCATAATCAGGAGAACAGCTCCTAAACTAAGAAAATGTTTATTGTCACAGTTCTAAAATCTATTAGAATATATGAAATATTTACATGTTTTTGAATGTTTTAGCTTCAATCATTTAAATTAAATGATTACATTAAAATGATGTTGCTAATTAGAATTATCAGCTGTGATAAACACCGAAAATGTACAAGACTGATTTAGAGACATAGCTGCCTGTACTCAGAACAGGGCTGTGAAAGCAGAGAAGTCCTCTCTCACAACTTTGTCTTTGTCTGCTCCTTTGGCTTGCTTCTCAGAGATGATCATTGAAGAGATCATATCAAATGTATAATTCTTAGTGATTCAAACAGGTTAAAATGAGTATTTGCTGTACAGTATGTTACAAAAAATCACTCTTATTAGTAAATAAAAGAGTAGCATTATTGTATGCCTCACACTCTAGCTATAAGAAACAAAAGTGTCTACATGCATATTAAAACTGTGACTTTTCTAACTCCTTCCCCTTTCACTACCTTGTTTCTGAGAGATAATAACATTTGACGGTGCTTTGTTAAATACAATACAGTATGCAATGCTTATCAAAGTATGCTCTTTGCTTAAAAATGATTTAAAATGTAAACACTCATAACTACACTACATTCGTGGTTTGTTTTTCAGAAAGCATGCTTTTAAATGGAAGAAAGAAATAGTTTTAGTGAAGGAATCCTCATATGGAATAAAAACTCTACAGTGAAGGTACTGGAACCTTTTATGATACTGTGTATGTTTTTTATAAGATAATTGCTTATAAAAATAATAATAAAACAACTCATAAATATTTAATAATTTGTTTCCAATGTGCTTTCAGAAAATCAAGAAGACACCATGCAGAATTTAACCCCTGTGACAGTATTCCTTTTCACTGCTTATGAAGCCAAAGGCAATATTAAGTATTTGTATTTCACGTTAACCTTGTTGACTTATATTTTGATTGTCTTTGTAAATACAGTTCTTATAACAACAATTGCTAGAGAAAGAAAACTCCATGAACCCATGTATATATTTATTTGTAACTTGTCCCTGAATGGGGTGTATGGCAGCACAGCATTTTATCCTATTATCTTGGCTAACCTCTTGTCAGAAGCACCCTCCATATCTAGAACTGGCTGCTTGACTCAGATATTTTTCATACATACATGTGGATCATTTGAATATTCGATTTTGGCCCTGATGGCGTATGATCGATATGTGTCTATATGTCATCCATTGAGGTATAATTGCATTATGACCCCATCAGTAGTGACTCAGCTTATAGTGTTTGTATATATGTACCCCATTTTTATTATGTTGATACATCTTGTTCTAACGGTTCGGTTGCCTCTCTGTGGGTTTATAATAGAAAAAGTGTACTGTGATAACTGGTCAGTTGTCAGGCTGGCATGTTCAGATGTGTCTGTTAATAATATTTTTGGTCTCCTGGTCACGGGACTTCTGATGGGTGTTCCAGTCGCTGTGATCTTCTACTCTTATGTCAGAATCCTGGCAGTGTGTCTGAGATCTACAAAGGAAGCTCGTGCTAAAGCTCTACAGACCTGTACCCCTCATTTACTGAGCTTCACAAACTACAGCATTGCCACGTTTTTTGAAGTTCTTCAACATCGTTTTGAATTTAGTAATATACCCCATGTGGTTCGTATTATGATGTCAATAAATCCAGTTCTACTTCCTCCTCTTTTAAATCCTATCATCTATGGAGTTAAATTACAGGAGATAAGACAAAGGACCATGAAAATGTTCTATAGAAGAAAAACAAATTATATTGGAGAATCTATGGGAAATAAGCAGAAACCCATTTGTATTTCAAGTATGAAGTAAAAACAGTTTTGTAAAATTTTAAAAAAGAATTAAAGTCCATAACTCGCTAGTTGGTTGTGGTGCAGTGATGACACCTTGGCTCTTCAGACTTCGTATACTGTATATTTAAAAATGAGCTGGGAAATCTGTTCTGTCCCTTTTGTCGTTCATTGTTCTATTTTGGTGGAACTAAATATTATATAATGTAATACCATCATTGTACAGGTATGAATAAAGTGCCTTTTTTATCTTCATATTTTTACAATTAATTTAGTTCAATGTCTTTTAGACTGTTTTCATTTAAATCTGTTGTTTCAAGCAGAATATCTTTGTAATGCTGTCTAGTTTATGTCTATCTTTTCCCATTCTAGTTTTCATAAACTTTCTTTCATCTTCTTGTCTTTTGGCCGTGACATCAAAGAATCCTTGCTGGCATGCGACTTCAAAACTATAGAAATCCATTTTAAAAACATCAATAAATGATCCCTAACATGTCGTTTGTTTACAATGTGTATTGTTTTTTTAATTAAATTTGCAGTTTCCGGGAAGCATGATAATTTAACATGTGTATCATTATCCTGTTTCTTCTTTTGCAGTTCAATGACTGAGTAAAAACACATATATTATACAGTATGCTGACTTCTTAATTAAGTATCCATGGTGATATGTTTGGGTCAGTTGTTAACGGTGGGTTTTTAAGTGACTGCACATGCGAGAGTACAGACACTGCCACTTGAAAACAGTGTCTCCTGAACTGCACAAGGGACCCGGCGCGCTTCTGCCATCTTCTCCTGTGGACATTCGTATCTGGGACCGCAGGTCTTCCATTCAATGAGCTCTCATGCAATATCTCTGCTGGAATGCAACTGAATTAAGAGTAAAAATCCATTGAAATGGAAATGTGTCACAAATATTAAGATTTTTTCCACTAATCTTCCATTTCTAGACATCACCTTCTCCATTAACTACCCCCGACTCTGTAGTTACAAGTACTGAGACAAACATGAAGCGAAAGGTGAAGCTCAGATCATCGCATTGGACTGTGGTGGCGAGTGCGTGGAAACTCTGACAGATACATCCTGGATGAGATGCCAGTCCACCTCTGGGCAGACACACAAGACACAAACATGGATATGCACACACTCATACCAGCACCAGACTTCCCAGAAACCAATTCACCCAACAGTATGTTTTTGGACTGTGGGTGGAATCTGAAGCCCCCAGAAGAAACACAAACGGAAATGGGGAGAACATACAAACTCCTTCCAGATAACACCCCAGATCCCGATTGCACTGCAAGGCAACAATGCTAACCACTGCGGCAATGTGCCACTCACAATAGCATATGTCAAATACAGTAAATATAAGTTTAATCTTGAAGTATTCGAAATGAACTTTCTTATGTTGCAGAGGGACATGAGTTTAATTAAGAAAAATCAGTTTCATTGTCATTTTACTTTCAGTATTTGTCCCACACGGAGAAATGACATAAGGGCTGTGTAAATTATAACACAGTACGTATTGATTTGCCATGGTGTACCTGTGACATATAGTTTTACAAGGGAGCTGCATGCCAGGCTCCTGAGACTGTCTAATCTATACTATGGCAGATAACCCTTGTATCTCAAAGTATTACTCGAAACTGGAAAACTCCAGTTACCTTTCACACATGGGAGTTGTTACAGCAGAACAAATCCATCCATTCCCTACAGATGAGGATAGAGCATAAAACTCAGTGGAAAGTGGTATCTTCTTTAGAACAGACTCATCCTGGATCACTGCTCATGATAAGAATTTTAAGGTATGTACTGAGAGCAGAAATCAGAGGTGATACTCTTGGTAAATTAGATTAAATATTCAATCAGGTTATATAGTAATGTAAAGTCTATAATTATTATTTGTTGTATTTCACTTTTAAAACTTTACTTTTTCCTAACCAGTGCTTACCCCTTTAAAATAACTTGTAATGCTTAATTATGTTTGAAATAAAGTAGAATAATGGTATTTACAGGATATGTTCTGTTTTTTATATGTACTATATTTTTACATACTTCTTGTTGTAAGAGCCTAGGAATATAAAAAATACCTGGAGTTTTAAATGTCTGTTCAACACAGCTCAAGGTCATCTCCAGGGAAATTCTTTTACTGATAATTAGTTATAACATTTTAACATTGTTTCCTTTTCCCATGTTAACAGCGCTACTCATTTAGACAGTGAATTGTCTTAATGAGAACAGATATAAGACATAAACTAAGAAGGTGTTCAGTTTTTATGTCACAGTGCAAGGAGATATTTTTTTCTTATTAAAAAAAAGGGTGGTGTGGTGGCTCTGTGGCTCAGGATCTGTGCCTGTGACTAAAAGGTTGCTGGTTCAAATCCCACACCTGCCAGAGGAATCCTACTCCGTTGGGCCCCTGGGCAAGGCCCTTAACCCCAACTGCTCAAGGGGTGGTGTACAATGGCAGACCCTGCGCTCTGACCCCAAGCTTCTCTCCCTGTCTGTGTGTCTCATGGAGAGCAAGCTGGGGTATGCAAAAAGACAAATTCCTAATGCAAGAAATTGTATATGGCCAATAAAATGATCTTATCTATATTAAAATATATGTGAATCTGATGTATGTCAGCTTTAAACTTTCTATTAAAGGCTAAATTGTGTTTGAACTTAAGTGGAATAAGGAACACTGCAGGTATTTAAAGGATATGTTCTGTGTACTTTTTACATTGTTTGCATTGTAATGGTCTAGGAGAACAATAAACACGTGGAGTTTTAAATCTCTGTTCAGCTCCAGGTTGTCACTGGGGAAATTCTCTCACCAATATTTAGTTATGAAATTTAACATTGTGTTTATTGTTCCCATGTTAACAGTTCTTCTCCTTTAGACAGGGAATTCTCTTAATGAGGACAGAGCAGGACGTTATCTAAGAAGGTATTCAGTTTTTATGTCTCAGTGCAAGGAGATATTAAAATATACGGTATGTGGATTTGATGTATGTCAGCTTTAAATGTCCTATTAAAACACATTACAATGACATTACTTTTTGTTAATTAGAAAGTGGTACAGTAGCAGCTGTGAAAAAGACATTTCTAAAATAATTCAGAGACACGGTGGCATGCACATAGATAAAATATATAAACATGTCAATGTTGGAAATACAGAAAAATACAGAACTAAAGCAGGTACAGTACTTTCTCTATAAAAGGTTTTCAGAAAGTATTGAAACCCAATGGAATTTTTTTTTACTGTTTTAGAAAGTTTTAAACTAGTATGTTTACTATGATTGTTAATATAACTTCTAATGTTGAAATGCTTAAAAGCAGTATATTGAGAAAACTTTCACAATTGGCTTTCTAGGTGACGTCAGAAAACCAAGAAGACACTTACTATGCAGAATTCAACCCCTGTGACAGTATTCCTTTTTAATTCTTATGAAGCTAAAGGCAACATTAAGTATTTGTACTTCTCGGTCACCCTACTGATATATCTTTTGATTGTCTTTGTAAACACAGTTCTTATAACAACAATTGCTAGAGAAAGAAAACTCCATGAACCCATGTATATATTTATTTGTAACTTGTCCCTGAATGGGCTGTATGGCAGCACAGCATTTTATCCCAATATCTTGGCTAACCTCTTGTCAGAAACACCCTCCATATCTAGAGCTGGGTGCATGATTCAGATATTTTGCACACATACATATGGAGCATTTGAGTATTCAATTTTGGCCTTGATGGCGTATGATCGATATGTGTCCATATGTCATCCATTGATGTATAACAGCATTATGACCCCATTAAAAGTGACTCAGCTTTTAGTGTCTGTATATATGTACCCAGCTTGTATTATGTTGATACATGTTGTTCTAACGGTTCAGTTGCCTCTCTGTGGGTTTATAATAGACAAAGTCTACTGTGATAATTGGTCAGTTGTCAGGCTGTCATGTTCAAATGTGTCTGTTAACAGTGCCTTTGGACTCTTTGTCACAGTTATTGTTATGTGTCTTCCATTCACTGTGATCATCTACTCATATGTCAGAATCCTGGCAGTGTGTCTGAAATCTACAAAGGAAGCTCGTGCTAAAGCTCTACGGACCTGCACCCCTCATTTACTGAGCTTCACAAACTACAGCTTAGCCTCGTTTTTTGAAATTCTTCAACATCGTTTTGACCTTGGTAATATGCCCCATTTGGTTCGCAGTATGATGTCAATAAACCCTTTTCTGCTGCCTCCACTTTTAAATCCTATCATCTACGGAGCTAAATTGCAGGAGATAAGAAGAAGGACCATAAAAATGTTCTTTGGAAGAAATACAAGTTCTGTTGGAGTACCTGCAAGTGTAAAGCAGTAAACCATGTGTCTTTCAAGTATGAAGTAAAAACACGTTCAGCAGAAACTTCAGTGAAAAATACTGTTCTGTAATTCACCAGTTTGTCATATTACAATGAAGACACCTTAGTTCTTCAGACCTCAGTATGTTGTTGTACAATTAGTTGGGGAAACCTCTTCTTATCTCTTATGTGATTGACTGTTCTCTTTTGCTGGAACTAAATAATTCAATACTATCAGTGTATTGTTTTGTTTCTCTTTGGATTTTCACAGTTCATCTATTCAGTAAGTTTAATGGCTTCTGTGCTATTTTTTGTTTTAATCCATTATTTTTTTTCAAACAGAATATCTTTGAATAGCTGTCCTCCATTCTTTAGTCTAGCCTATGTATCCTTACCAGTTCTAATTCTCATAAATTTTCTTTCCTGTTCTTATCTTCCTTCCACTGACATCTGACAAGATGTGTCTGATTCCTACATGTGACCTTTAGACAACAGAAATCAGTTCATTTATGCTAATGAATAAGGCCTACCCATGTGTAGCATTTTTTTCTTTAATGAAAATGCAGTTTTCTGGGGTGGTCTTTTTTAATAAGCATATTATAATACTTGAAGAGTTTTGCTTCTTAAAAATAATAACCCCTTACATTTTATACAGCGATTTTCTGGACACTCCTCTCAAAGCATGTTATAGGTAATGGGGGCTCTTCTCCACCAGCAATGTGCAGCCCCACCTGGATGATGTGACAGCAGCCATAGTGTGCACATTACACTCAGCACACATCAGCTATCAGCGGGGAGGAGAACAGAGCGATGAAGCCAATTTATAGATGGGAATTATTAGGAGGCCATGATCAGCAAAGGCAAATGGGAAATTTGGCTAGGATGCCGGGATAACACCCAGGAATTTTTAGTCTCATCTCATCTAAACTATGTTTTTTTAGAGTATAGTGTCCCAGTCAAACTACACAGACCACAGTAGCAACCTTATTTTTTCCCTGGTCTCCCATCCAGGTATTGACCAGGCTCACACCTGCTTTGCTTCAGTGGGTTGCCAGTTGTGAGTTGCAGGGTGATATGGCTGCTGACTTCTTCTTGTGCAGTTCATCAGTAAAATTAAGTATGTTTCCACTTCTCAATTAGGTATCTGACTCAGGTAATATATTTTGCATCAGTTGTTAAAAGTGTTATTTTTACACATATGTAGCTTCACGGAATTTACAAATGTCACAATCATATATAATGTTTTATTTGCAGTTTTTGGGGTGTCCATCATAAACTTGGAAGAGGCTTTCTTTTAGTGCAGCTCATCAATAAATTGACTGGAAGCACATACTGTAGAGTATCTGTTCACTTCTCAATTAAGTATGGGGCACAGATGAACTAGATGACATAGTTTTCACAGGCTTGCTTTCCTTTTCTCATCACCCTGCCCTTCACTACACAAATCAGTTTCATACAACATACATATCAATAAACAATACCTATCATGTGCAGTAGTATATCCACAATGTATACTGTTGTTTTTTCATGGAACAAAAAACAGGCTTTTTTAATGTGGCTATTAAAAAAAAGGCAGGGTGTTCATCAGTCCAGTGACCGAGTAGAAGCACATACTGTACAATATGTTTTACTTTTCAATGGGATGTAGTATAGGTATATGTTTTGCTTTATTTCACAATAGGATTATTTGTTCTATAACACAACCTCCTTAGCCTCTACATTTCCTGATCCCATAGTTCCTGAATTTAGGGAAAAACATAAATTGATAATTTATTTAATAGAAAGTTTCATTTTCCATTGCACTGAAAACATATTCTATATGATTAAATAATGATAATAAATTACATAAATTACAAGCTACACTTGATCAAAATTACTGATGTTATAACTGCTTGCGGAGAGATACACAATGACCCAGAAGTGTTTCAAAAATAAAACATGAATAAAATAGCTGAAAAACAATTCAC